TCCTTTCTAGAACTCTACTTGAGGATGCAGTCAGTTTTCCTTGAGACTCTGCTATCTGAAGACCATTATTCTTGTGACCATCAGTTCAGCTAGGGCTAAATCAGAACTGAGGCCTTACCCACTAAAAAAAAACGTTGTTTCTATCACAGTAAAATACTGTAGCCTGCAGCCCAGACCCATTCTTCATGGCAGACATCAAATAGCACAGGTTTTATTGCTGCCATTCTTTTGCATCAGTACAGCCACTTCCTGGACAGAGGGTGGCTCACTTGGGATACCCAGAGGGCTGATAAATTCCACTACTGTGTTGATCCAAGGAAGAGTAAGCGTTTCTCCCCCCAAATGTAAGATGTGATAGTCATCTTAGATCTCATTGACAAAGTGGTATTGGGGGAAAAAAATTCTGCCTAATTTTTTGGGGTGGGGTGGGGATTTCAGGGTTCCCTTATTTTTGCATGAATACGTAGGACAAGGTCATAGATGGCATAACGCTGCTTTCTGGGTTTCACATGGACGGTGTGAGAACGCACTCAGTAACATGATGAGTATGGTGTGATGGTTAAGGTTGTTGGACAAGGACCAGGTTCAAGGCCATCCTTAGCCATAGGGGACTTCGGGCAGCTCACTGTCTTACAGCCTAACCTACCTAGAACACTGTTGTAAAGAATCAGAGAAAGTGATAAGTATACTCACTTGACTTCCTAGGAGAAAAGGAAGAATATAATCAAAACATAATTAAAACCTTGGAGTCTGTTTGGGGAACCTACCTTGGTAGATTTGGGGCAAGGGCTTCCTAGAGGAAATGGACAATTACCAGCTGTTGGACTGAATACAGTCTCTGTCCTGCTCCAAGACCCCCCCCTACTGGAAACTGTAAGGAAGTTGCTGATGAGTCCCTGGAAATGGTTGCTCAGCAAAGTTTTTTATTTTTCTGTTGCTCAAAATGGACATTGAAACAGTTGAAATGACTTTTTGTCTCTATGCTCCTTGAACAGCTATGCATTTCTGTATACTGATCTATGAACTTTTGGGATTGTGTTGGGGATAAGTATTTGTTAAGAAGAAGGCATGTCATAAACCTAGCTGCAGCCTTTCCCCAAATACTAAATCTTACAGCTTTTGCATTAGGAAACTGCAATCATACATACCTCTTAAATTTAGGCACAATTAACCATAATAAGTTATTAAAATCTAAGCAATTCAAATAAAAACTTGATTTGGTTTTATTGGTCTTCCACTTAGTTTAATGCTTTCCATAATAACATTTTTGAAGCTTTAATATGCTTAATATAGTTAATATACTTTAATATAATTCAGCTTTCCATCCAATGTTAAATGGGGCTCAGAATCCAAAGAATTGCTATGGTTGAAATTGGGAGCTCTATTCCTAAACAAGTCCTTACTCCCAAGAAGACCTATCCTTTAAATCTGTACCACGCTTTAAGGTTTGACTGGCTTCTGCAATGGTTAACAATGGTTAAGCCTATATCTTCACATTGAAGAAAGTCTGACTCTGAACTTGCCACACTCCTGCTTCTGTCACTGAGACATGAGGGTCTGCAGTACACCTAATGATCTATCTTTGTCCTCTAAGTTGTTCTTGGGATTTGATTTATGCATTTATATAGAATGTGTGCGTGTGAGCATTGATGCACTGAATTCAACCATATTTTTTAAACATGTATCTGATTCAGAAAGACTCTAGTCTAAACTTGTAAGATTTTGTGTGTCTACGGAATCCCTTATTAGAATTTATTATCGCTGAGATTTTTGCTAGGAAACCCATCCCTTCTATGCATGTCCAGGGGGATGGCTCCTTTTGACCCCTGCAACAATTACATCATTGGGAACTTCACTGGAATTAGATGAGTTCTTTACACATTTTTCCCTAATTTTTTAAAATCCTCCTCCTATTACTCTGATTATTTTCCTCTTATCTCAGTCATCTTAAACAGTGTTGGTGGGCCCTGCTGGGCGCATGACATATGATTCCCAGAGCCTTATTTCATACATGCGTTAACTTTGGAAGGAAGTAAGAAGATGAAATGGCCAATTACTCCACCTTACCTGACTAGAGAAAGCCACTTGGTAGGAGTCTGTATACACTGCCACCACCCTGCAAACCTCTCAACACAGAATATATAGTATTTGCCCATTAACTGTACTGCTCCGGTAGTTTCCATGAAAATAGCTAGGAGGAATCACCTCTCTAAAATAAGCACAGCCATACCCAACAAAGACTGCAAAGCCTTCTCATCGAAAGGACTGGCCTAACCATAAAGCTCAGTCTGCCCTGCCCAATCACGACAAGCCCACTCTGCTTCCAATTATTGCCTCATGTAAAAAGCCTGCAAGCCTATGGTCCTTTCTGAAGCATACTTCACAGTTCCAAGAATCAACTTCAGATGGAGAAACCTGGGAATTATTTCCCCAATCAGTTACAAGATCAGTCCAATCAATTTAGAGTCCAATTCCAATGATTATTTAAGACTCATCAGACTCCCAGGCTCCTTTGGATCTTCCTGTTCATGTTGTAGCAGAAACGGATAATGGGTTTCTCCCCTTCATGCTCACTGGAGATAAATATACTGCTATACCTGGACTGGGCAATGGGACAATTTATCACATAGCATAAAAAAACTTGTGTTATGATCCTTTTCCACCACATTGCCCAAGAAAACACACACACGAATAAAAAACTGATTGCCAGTGCAGAGTAATAGATCAGAACTAATTTCTACAGAATCTAGACCACCTGATTCAGATGTCTTTATTGTAGATCTACAAGCACTGCAGCCTTCTCCACCAGTCACACATCCATCTTTCAACCTCCCAATGCCTCAGAGCCTCAGACACATTGCATTTATTTGAGTCATAGACAGCAGAATAAACAGATACAACCATTTAACCACAAGAGCAACAGTATAAAGGTCCACATTCAAAGGAGAAGACAGTATCAGAAACAGAAGAGATTGAAACTGAGCAGTCCTTGATTTTATAGGAGATTAAACTCAAAGCTCATCATCAGAGAACAACTGCTATCATCTGTATGTCTTCCCTCTGTGTATCATCCATGAACCCAGGCAGCTGTATTTATGATCACACCACGGCTGCCCAAGTTTATTATTCTCCTTTTCCTGTCCAGTGGCATTTGCATGTGTCTTTCACAACTATAAATGAACTCCTGAGGCAGTTCCTGCAGCTAAACCTCAACTCTCTTAATTCCACACTATGATTGGTACAGCCTAGTTTTTCACAAAGGGTATAATCAAAATCTTGGAAGTCTCTAGATATCACAAGAAGGAAATCATGTGCAGGACAATGGTCCTGCTTCTCAATGTGAAATGATGACTGTATTTCAATTTCTCCTCTGAGTAAAAAGGACTTGCCCTACTGTAAGTATATACAGTGACAATCACAGCATAATACGTACCTATGAAGGCATGTCTTCTGTCCTTCAGTGAAACAATCTTATCATCCAAGAAGGATGGGCAAATTGTGTGTTCAGAATTCTAACCCTTCACTTTTTTCCAGATACAATAAGATAATTCTCCAACCTGGTATCATCTTCCTAACAAAGCATCTTCAGAATATCACATGAATTAACATCTCTTATTACCTCCATATTCCCCGTTACCATCTAAACAGTTGATGTGTACCAATTAGCATATAGCCAGTGTACAGAGTCCTACTACTGATAAAGGCATTCTATCATTCTCATAAATTTGCTACGATGGGGAAAGAAAAAGTGGGTTTCAGCCCAAAGATTCAGTAACTAGATGTCAAATCTGCAATGTTCAAATCCCAATGAAGAAAAATCTCTTGAAACCCGAGTCAGGTTCAAAAAGGAATTCATTTATTGAGAGAGATATGCATCTTCAAAGCATTGCTGAAACTAAAAAGCTCACACATTCCCAATCTACTTTTGCCCTCACTTCTAACCCACCTTCTCCTCAGCCAGTTCTTGGTTCTCATGTTGGTACGACCTTGGACATTCCCGGCCCCAGATAACAGTCCATCTGTGTTAACGGTTTCACCTTCCTTGTTCCCCCCTCCCCCTAGTGGAAAATGGCAGAAACGAAGCAAGCAACTAATGAGCTGACAGATTGATTGCTGGAGGTTCTGACACTAGGTTAAGAAATCCATCAGAATGGGATACCTACTAACTAAACTTTACCTTCAGATTTGTTCAGTGGACCTTTTACTAAAGAGTTTTCTATATCAGTAGCGCTGTCTTAAAGGTTGACTCTTCCTGAGCACTTGTTCTAGCCAGCAGATGTTCATACAGCATGTTCATACACCACTCTTACGTAGACTACCACACGTGTCTTTTGGCAGAGCTGTGTTATCCTCTGCTAACAGCACATTTACATACCTCCTGACTGTTAATTTGCTATTCTCACATAGCAAACTAACAGAGACTACAGTGAAGACTAACTTGTTTACCTGTAACTTCTTCAGATGGTCATCTCTGCATGCACACATTTTACACCTCTTCAGGTTCTTGATTTGTTGAGTACTCTGCTTCCAGAACTGCTGCATCTGTTGGGAAAGTGAGGGAGAATTGATAACTGTGACTAGACAACCCCAGGAGAGGGCTTCCTGCAAAGTCTCAGCTGTAATAGGTTCCAGTGAGGGCTTCTGGTTAGACATAAAAGTCATATGTATGAATTCATAGTTGACACACAGGTAAGTAACCTATTCTCTAGAAATTATCTGTGTTAGAATTCACTAACTGAATATGCAACAGGCACATCACAAATGAAAGTCGATGAAGGACAGTTTGGGTACCTGGGATTTCATGGATGTTGCTGAAGCAGAAATCTAAGGGCTCCAGCCTGCAGGACCTTGGTGGTGATGCTCAGAGCTGTAGTTCGGCAACCTCTGGAGAGCTAAAGTAGTTAATAATTCTAATAATAATTCTGTCTTTCTCACAGAATCTATGTTAAATTAGAATGTACAGAATATATGAAGCTCTTAATTCATTCTGCTGTATTTAGATTTCAGATGGTCAAGGAGATGAAAGATCAGAGTCTCCCTATGAAAGTGCAGATGAGGCTCTTGGAGAAGTCTCTCAGCTATCCAAAAAGTCTGACCGAGGACCCACAGCCAGGAAGGAATATGTTTGTCAGGTAAGAAAGGAAGATGTTTGTCAAGCAAGTGTGATGGGTACACTGTTGGAAAGACCAGGTTAGGTTCAGATTGTCATGGAAAAAGGTCTATCTTATGTGGTCCCTAAGAGTCGACACCGGCTTGATAGCACACAATCAATGCTGGTCAAAGCACATTCTTGTTTGTAAAACTGAAAATTTAAATATGAACAAGTACATTGAAATAGTCATTGGAAACTCATCAGAGTCATCTTCCCCTATATCTAGGTTGATGCTTCATCCCTTGGCCTTTTAAGAGGACAATGTCATTTGGGGTAAAAGTAATATTCCATGTATATGATAATCTGAAAGAGGAATGTTCCTTGTCAGTAACTAAACAAACTTGTTCTAAGGAATCTCAGAAGTACTACAGACATTGCTAATCAGGATAACAGTAATATGAACATTGCATGATTTAATTAGAATACAAACCAGAGCATCAGGTCTGTATAATAAGCTAAATGGTCAAAATCTTACCTGCTGTAGACAATTTGCAAATCTATGCCAGGTACAATTAAAATTATTTGTGAAGGTGTGCATTTTAAAAAAAAATGTTTTGAGCTTGGAATTAATCAGTCCCATCTGGAACTTTCTTTTGGGACACAAGGGGGTCCATGCCCCTACTGCTCAGCCTATATAAAAATTGGCTAAGGATATTTAAAAAAAAAAATTCCCATAGCAAACAGCGGAAGCCTTTAAACCCACCTTTTAGACACGTTGCCCGTGCCTTCATGGAACAGAACTGAGAAAAAGCAATTATGATGAATTTATCTCCACACAACATGAACTATGTAGTGACAGCAGCAATACATTTCTCTGGGTTTGGCCTTCCTAACTCATGTGCTTGCCCTTTGCATTTGGCTGAACGCTTAAAAATGTCACAACACAGCTGTAGTATTTTTGGCACACCGTCATCTTTGGAAAGTTCAACAAACAAGCGAAATATCTGGCAGCTTGAAAACTCATAGCAGTTCTGTCTGAAATGCATATATGGTGGATAGGTTTGCCTGCCTGAAAAGAACCACAACCCACGTAGCATGTATACTACATCTGGTAAATCTTAACTTTCCAAAGTGACCCAGTTCCATGATGGCAGCCAGTTTTCTTCTTCTGCCTAGGTAATGGATCATTTATAGTCTGATGTTAGTTTCACGTAGTCTCAAAGTGAGTGCACCCTGTTTGGCCATGGTAGATCGATCTCTAGAACCATAATATTATCAGCTATGGACGTACTTTGGGTAGGGTCAGGAGGTTTGGGGCTGCCAGTGGTCTGGAGATAAGGGAATGGTTGTGGCAGGTCCGGAAATAAACCTGCTTATTCATCACCTTCTGACTTCCTAAACTAGCTCAGAAGGCTCCATTCCCTGATACTAAAGGAGTCTGAACATGCTTCTTTTCTCTGTGACAAGAAGTCAAGGATGCCTTCCCTCCATGGGAACTCCCTGTTAGAACCAGGTCTGTGGCTGTTCCTGCTGCAGGTGTCCTATTCCTTGACATATATTCCAATGGGCTTGAAAGTGGGCCTGTACTGAATTAATTTGAAATTTGAAAAAGGAGCCCCATGCCCTAAAAAAGATGGTAGCATTGAGGGAAAGGACGCTTATCAGTATTCTGTGCCTTTTAACGTTTTCTCTTCTCAAGATCTGTGAAAAGCCTGGGGAACTCCTGTTTTGTGAAGGACGGTGTCTTGGGGCTTTCCATGCCAGCTGCAGTGGCCTGTCTGGAAGACCCAAAGGACACTTTATTTGTGGTGAATGTACTTCAGGCAAGTCTTTTCATGGTGATCAGCAGTCTTTGCATGCTTCCTATGGAAATGGTTATCCTCTGGATCTCGTGCTAAAGGTGTCTTGTTACCGAAAAGCAAAGATAGGAAACGTGAACAATTAAAAAGTTAATACTGAGAAAATAAAGGAAGTAATGAATCTTTAACATCTTCCTGTATTTCCCTTTCTACCTCGCTCAGAAATACTAGCCAGGGTTTCTTACTTCTTTATCTCATTATTTATTCGTCATGTAGGGTTCAGCTTTCCTCTTCTGCATAAAATCTGTTTTTCCCCATTTCTTTGGGGTACTAGGAAGCTCCACCAACCCAAGAGAAGTTTTGGACTCTGTGTCCCTGGGATTTTGATTCTCCTGCTGCATGCAGCTGGATTGATTTGCACAGATAATCTGACACTAGAGAATCTTGAAGCAGTCCGTGGAGTGTTTTTGGTTTTTTATTGGTGCTTATGAAGGATGGATTGTGTGATCGTTGTCAGTAGATCACCCCTTTTACCTTCTTCAGTGGTCCTCCTGCAAAATGAATTGCTCACTATAGAGCAAGGGTGCACAGCTTCTTTCAAACGGAGGACCATGCACCAAAAAACTAGGTAGGGCCAAGAGAAAGACATTGAGGCAATGCCTGTGTATTTAATAAACTTCCCCTTTTGTCATATTAAACATTGTAAAATGGGGGCAAGGTTTAGTGGGACTCCTCAAGTTGATTCCAAGGCTTTCAGCAGCTCTTAAGATTTCTGTCCCATAAGGGAAAGCATGGCTGTCTGGGTACTGGGAGCAGCTTGCAAGACTCTCCAGCACTTCTGAAATGCCAGGGTTTTAGAAGGGATCTGCCTTTGCCCAGAGCATTTCAGAGGGGTTGGTAGTTACATTCTTCCCAATATCTTCATACCACAAAAACTGTTCCTGGAGCGTTCTTTGGAATAAAGCTGTACAATAGCAAAACTCTTTCATTTCTCTGCCAGTTGAATCTTTATGCTGAGAGAAGTGGAGAACTGATGAAAACGGATCTTGAAATCCCTTTAAATTGCTGATCAAATTGTTATTTTCTGTCTTATGCTGGTTGCTTGTTTAACTTGTTATTCTTTTTAACTTCCTGGCTCCATACCAGGGAATGGATGGTCTTCCATATGTTATTCATGAGCTGCAGTTCCCAGCAGACTTAACTATTATAGGTGTCATTGAGGGATGTCTGGAATTGTAGTTCAGTAGTATGTGGGAGGGCCACAGTGCTTCACCCTGTGAAAGAAAATACAGAGAAGCATCTAATGACTCACAGTAGGGTTAAAGGAAGAGGGTTTTTGAATGTCATTAGCAAAATCCTAGCATGATACAGACATCTTCCAAATCAGGAAAGTCTGTAAGGCAAAAGTCTAAGGATTCTGCCAGATCCAAGGACATTGTGATTATTAATGGCAGCTCACAGGAACAGATTTGAGCATTCTCAGTTTGATGATAAGTGCCCTGGAGCTAGAATTGGAAATCTTCGGATCTGTGCCTTACAGTGCCTGATGGAGCTGGAAGTCACTTGATAACAACTGGTCTCCAAGAATGAAAAGGCTGCATGCTGAAAATCATTTGGTCCACCCTGTAAATTTTTTGCATTATAGTTACCATTCCGTTTTTCTGTTTACCTGATTATTCTCTGAAAGAGGTTTAGAAATGTAGACATGTGTTGTTGAAAGGAAGATGCTTATGAAGAAAGGCATGTGAAAAATATGATTTTGTAAAAAATTAGTATCTACTTTAATTCCAAGTATTTAATTAGCTCTAGTTAAAAATGAACTTAGTTCTGTTCTATTCTTGAGAAATACTTAATTTTGTTTAAAATTTTTATTAGGTATTCATACGTGTTTTGTGTGTAAGGAGAAAAAATCAGAAGTTAAACGCTGCATCGTATCCCACTGTGGAAAATTTTATCATGAAGCTTGTGTGAAAAAATTTCCCCTCACAGTTTTTGAAAATAGGGGTTTTCGGTGCCCTCTCCACAGTTGTGAGAGTTGTCATGTTGCTAATCCCTCAAATGCCAAAGTATCTAAAGGTATTTACTTTTTTCCTTCTCTTTTTCTCTATCTCTTTGTGCATCTGTAGTTCATTTTCAGAGGTAGCATAGCACTGTGATTACTGTTTGTTTTATGGGAGCTCATAGTAGCATGAAAAGTTCTTGCACCCACTTTCAGGAATACGTGGCTTTTTAAGATTGGAAGTCTGTTATGACCATATAGTGACAGCTATCATGTCTCTGTGTGAATGTATGCATTGGCCTTCCTTTAGTTTGGAACTAAGGAGAGCTAGGAAGAAACTGCTAATCACCATTTGCTTGTTCTCAAGGCAACCTTTCCTTCCTACATTTTCTTTCTAGCCCTCTTGCTGTAAGGAGAATCTGTAAAGTTGGCATGTTCCTTATGGACTAAACAGTGGCATGTCCAGGATAGAAAGAGCCAGGCTAATCTGATCTCTTGTGAAGGAAACACCAGTTCCAAGCAAATAGTTCCAAACGATTCATAGCAAGGACTATTCTGCCAGAGAAGACTTCCAGCTTCTCCTAATAGCTCAAGTAGCCTTTTTTTGGTTATGGCACTAAGATCTCGATCATGATTAGTCTTGAACGGTCAAGTTGTTTCAAAGAAAAAATGGCTTCTGATGTAAACAGATCCAGGTGGTGCCATGAGGTTAATAAAACATTCCTTCCCAGCATTGATTCTACTCAGTTATTTCATTGAGAAACCAACTATGACAGACTTGCAGAATTTGGAAACATTTGCAGCATATAGAAAAAGTGAGGCTAAGCAAAATAATACTGGAGTTAATAAAACAGTAACACCTATATACCTTCTCCCTCCTTTAAGTAGTCTTCACATTTCTCAGTTTTACCACATGCAACCATTTTAAAATAATGATTAACGTAATCATGATCCTTGCATCCCTCATCAGTAGCCTAGTTTCCATTGTCAAGCTAAGTCTAAATGTGATTTGTTTGAATATCTGAACTCCAGGCAATAAACGTGATGTATGTTTGGCAGTATCCAGAATTCAAAAACATAGTTAAGATGAGAATGCCTCATGCTCTCTTCATAACCATAGCTGCCCCTACAAACACAACCATTTCAAACAAGAAGCCATTTCAGAGAATGGAAGTTAAATTCCATACGTAACAGCTCCTTAGGAAGACACCCACGGCAATAAATACAACAAAAACGTTCACAAACACATATGCGAAACACATAGATATACCTGTCCTCAACCTCCAACATTCATATAGAGTATACTCTTCATCAAAGAAACCTAGAAATGCCCATAAATCACCAAATATAGCCCTGCCCAACAGATACACAACAATTTTTCTCTATTAAACTTTTTAAAAAAGCAATTCATCCTGTCAAAACTGTACTTTACAGTTGTTGGAATATTTGGAATTTAAAGCAGGAATTAATTTAACAATTTGAGGACATTAATTCTGGCTTGTGCAAGAAGTGACTATTAAAAGAAATCCTGGCTTAATGTTATGTGCAAAGAAGCCATGGTTTCTAAAGCCCTGTTCCAGATGGATGATGACCACTTACTTAAATGGCTTTTTAGGGGAAAGAATTTTTAATTGTTGCTTGATATAGTGGGTATATGCTTCTTCTCTGTTCACAAGTAATATGTAATTGAATGCCATCAATAGGGAACAACAGAAGACCACAATTGCTTTCATGTCCTGTGTATGGCTTCTTTTTAGGCATTTAATTTTTTATGTAATCTATATCTTCCCAAGGAACCCAAGTCAGTTTACAGTTTTAAATAATGAAACAAAATATTAGTTCCTTAAGTTCAGGAGATGATGTTATAGAATCTTTGGGTTGGGTTTCCTCAGTTTTGTTTTCTTTTAGAGCACATGTGATAACTCCAGACAAGTAAGTCAAGAGATCATGCAATCCCCTCCACAAATCACAGGAAACCACAGTTGGAAACAACATTTCAGGCACAATGAATTTATTCACTGATACTCTTTGCAAATCATACTGTCACACTGCCATGGAGCAAGGCTGTCCTAAGTCATTGTGTTGGATCAGGCAATAAAACTGGTCATTAGAAGTACAGAAAGCGAAATCAAATTCAATACGAGATCTCAGTGTCCATAAACAACATCCAGGGGAGTAGGAGAAACAGTCAATCTCCTCAGAGTGTTCTTTCATTTATCCAAAGATGGACATTCTTAAGCAAAGAAACTAGAAATACCAGTTTCATAATGAAATAAACAATGCTACTGTTAGAATCTGAGCTGTTAATTTATTAGGTGGTTAGGATTTATTAGGTGGTTAGGATTAGGGTTGTTATTCTTGATTACATAAATAGAGAACAAGAGTTCTTCTCTGAATAGTCATAGTCTTCATGTATAAGTCATATCATCGATGCATGACTATGGTATCACAGAGAACAACGGTTGGACATGCACCAAACATTTCACGGTCGGTTCCTTGCAACTTGGAGTGAGCTCTTCTGACCTTACCAGAAGAGTCCTAGCTGTGGAATAGAAGTGGGAAAGGTCCATTTTGATGTGACCGTCTTCCAGTCAAATTGGGGCATTGGGGGTTGGTACACTTCAGCTTTGGAATGCTTGGCACAACTCTGATGCCCATTTTATAGCTCTTCTCTCAGTCTGCAACATCCACCTCTTATTTCTCCCTTTATAATTCCTCACATTCAGCATCATTTTTGTGTGTGGCAGTTCATGAAAAATGATACTTGCCTTTCTTTTTGTGGGTGGTAGTTCATGAAAGCTGATGCCATAATCCATTAGCTAGTTATTAAGGCTTCAGAGTGCTCTGATGCTTTTAAGTCTTTAAGCATTTTTACCAATGTATTGTAAAAGGTGCTGTGTGTATTTTTCTTTGCACTAGGCAAAATGATACGATGTATTCGCTGTCCGGTGGCTTACCATGCTGGTGACAACTGTGTGGCTGCCGGATGCGCCATGATTTCTTCCAGCAGTATTGTTTGTACCAACCACTTTACTGCCACGAAAGGAAAAAGCCATCATGCTCACGTTAATGTTAGCTGGTGTTTTGTGTGCTCAAAAGGTAAATAACTTACTTAATTTAACTTTAAGTGTTCTTATGTCACAGTTGGTAAGGGGGTTTTGTTGTTGCTGTTGAAGCATTTCATTAAGTTTAAAGGCCCTTTATTTCTTGTGGTGTGTGCGTGTTGCAAAAGCATTTAGAGAAAAGTATGATTGAAACTGAAGAATTGCATGTCTAAAATACAAGAGTGGGAAGAATTCTTTCATAAACATCAAGTGAGCAGATAGGGCAAGGGCAATGACTCCTCTCTGCCCCCCATGGCTCCAGAAATCTGCTCCAGAAGATTCTCCTTTTCAGAACAGATGTGAGAGAAGAAATAGGTTTCAGTAACAAATAGCATTCTCAATCACCCAATCTATGGCTTTGGTCCAACAAAAAAGCAGGACCAAACCCAACTTTCTTCCTGTTCCTTGCATGAATATACCTTCAGTCTTGGTGTTGGAGTTAAGTTGAAAGTCAGAGTGTCTCAGGGTAGACACATTAGTAGTGACAACAGCCAACAATCGCCCAGCTTCAAAGTCAAGAAACACCAGGCAAAAAGCCCACTGAACAATAGGGAGGGTGGGAGAAAGAGGCCCTGGAATTAAATTACAGTGGGTCTAAAAATCTTTATGTTGACAGAGAGCACTCAACTCTTATAGAGGTTTCCTCTTAGTATGCAGTAAAGATTCTTATCTACCTGTGCCGTATCATGTGTCTGAGAACCTAAGTTGAATACGAGAGGCTAAAGTCAAGCCACACTGAGTCTATATATGGGAAATTCTGTGGAGGTTCACACAACTCTGCTTTCTTGAAGAAAGCAGCTGTATCACATCAGCTCCATCCCCTGGAATAGTTTTTAAAAAGGAGGAGGAAAAAGAGAGAGATGGGCCACAGAAGATTGGCAAACTTAAGTCCACATGTCAGAGAGGCCGGTAACTGAGCGTTAGGGAGCGATCACCATGGAAATGGGCTTTGTGGCATCTAGGGAATGCTGATCGCTCTGTCCTCTGACAAGGGGAAAAAAAGGGTGGGATAGAAATGAAGCAGATGATGGAGGAACAATGAAGGACCCATTGAATGCAAACAGCATCGAGCAATGCCTTTGTGGGCTTCTTCTAGCAGCTGCAGGCAAGAGATGGACTGAGGCAGCCTTCAGCAATGGGCAGATGAGCACACACTGGATTGATCCTTCTCCTGCACATATCCAGGCCCCACCTGCTGTAGCAGCAGGAAGGAGAAGTGACAATAATAGCACGTTAGAGGCGCGGGAGGAAGCCAACGTGGGAGAGAGTGGAAAGCACAGGCAACTGTGCATGCACCAGCCTTAGTGCCAACTGGGAGCACAAATCCCTCAACGGGAAGAGGGGGAGAGAGAACCCACACGGAGTAGGAATTTTAGGAAGGCCAAGATGGTGCATTTCTTAGGGCAATTCCTGACTGAAAGAATGGACAGCAGGAGGAAATCCAGGGCTTGAATCCCCCAAGCAGAAGCACCACTAACACCAGTTTTGAAGAGCATCTCTCTGACTGGGAAGGGAAGAAATGGGGAAGTGGCTGTAAACATGACATCCCAGTTACCCAGGTGGGTGGCCCCCTGGATTAACCCTGTTGGTTTGCTCCAGCATCTGGTGACCAAAGAGCTATATCATGGTAAATCCACCTACTTTTCTTCTAGCAGATGGATGTAACTAAATTCAAATCTTGATCAGGAAAAAAAGAGTTAATTGTGTATGACAACAGAAACTGCTAATCTAGCTTCAGATCCACAATCGTATTAACCGGGTAGCCTAGATTTAAAAAACGGTACTGAAAGAGTAAGGAAGCAATCATCCGTAGAAAAACTTGATGTGGATAATATTACCCACTTTTTGAAGCTTCCTGTCTTTGGATAGTATTTGTATGCTGTTGATAATATCCAACAAACATGGTTCACCTGCCGTACTTCCAGCTCTTCTCAGTGAGTTTGGTAACAAAGGGAAGTGCTAATAGTAGGCACATCTCCAAGTTTACGAAGAGTTCATTCTTCTGACACTGCCTAAGTCGATCCTAACAGAATCCCTAATCTTGTATAATTCCTTCTTGTGTGCATGGGTTTACGCTTAATCCTTAGCACTAAACACATTAGCATTTTTATGCTTAAAATAAAACCCTAATTTTTCTCCTCATGTCACTGAGGGTTGTTTTGCACCTTTCATTACAGGGGGAAGCCTTTTATGTTGTGAGTCTTGTCCTGCTGCGTTTCATCCGGATTGTTTAAACATTGAAATGCCAGATGGAAGCTGGTATTGCAATGACTGCAAGGCAGGGAAGAAGATTCATTTTCAAGATATTATTTGGGTCAAACTGGGAAATTACAGGTTTGGATTTTTAAACATAATTAAATATTTAAAGAGATATTTGTTGGTATATATAATTGTATCTCACTTTTCCTTGGAGCTCAGAAATGGGGGAATTTGTATGCAGAAAGATATTTGATAGTTATATGCATGTATACATGTGTATGCTGTACATAAAAAGATCTGTCTGTATGAGATTAAGATTCATTTGTTTCTAAGATAACAGTATTCTCAAATTCTTCCTTTTGTTGGGTTGTTTTTGTGGTAGGTGGTGGCCTGCAGAAGTCTGCCATCCCAAAAATGTTCCCCCAAATATCCAGAAAATGAAACATGAGATTGGAGAATTTCCTGTGTTTTTCTTTGGCTCTAAAGATTATTACTGGACACATCAAGCTCGTGTATTTCCATATATGGAAGGAGACCGAGGAAGTCGATACCAAGGAATTAAAGGAATTGGAAAGGTCTTCAAAAATGGTAAATTTAGTTCAAATGCATTCATAGTATATGATCATTTTGTGTATAAAGGACCTTTGTTCATTACATAGAAGCAGAGTGTTTCAAATTTCATAAATGAGTTAGAATTTCAATATTTTACTTTGTTGCAGCTGGTGATAGCACCTAGCTAAGCTTGGTTGATTTCAGAAAAGCTAAGCAGGGTCAACATGGTTAGTTCTTGGATGGGAGGCTTTACTGTTGGTGGTGGTGGTGGTCGCACAGTCAGCCAGTTGTTTAGATTGGATTTGGCATTTTTATCCACGTATCGAGTCCTTCCCAATTATTGTGGCTGGTTGCACAGTCAGCCAGATGTTTAGACTGCATTTGGCGTTTTTATCCATCTATTGAGTCCTTCCCAAGGACCTGGGATAGGCCGATGTTGTTTGATGGTATTAAAGGTAAACAGCTCAGGATATAAGCTGTTCCAAGTAAAGCTGCCTCTCGCAATTGTCTGGTGGTGATTATGTCAATGCCGATGGTGTTCAAGTGGTGCTCCAGATGTTTTGGGATTGCCCCTAAGGCAGCTATTGATACTATCTTTGCTTTCTTTTGCCATAGTCGTTCTCCTATTTGCAGGTTTTTATATTTTGTGATTTTCTCTATTACTACTACTACTACTACTACTACTACTACTACTGTTGTTGTTATTAGTCTATTGCAAGCTACTATAAAAAAGCAGTGCATAAATCAAGATTGTTCCTTTAAGAGGGTCAGCCCGCTTCAGCCACCTTGTTGGAGAAGATGCAGGGCAGCCCAAACAGAGCCTTGTCTGCCCTGCTCCAAATTGAAGGTAACCGGCATGGCTCTCAGCTTGGGCTTGTTCTGTGCAGGAGAGGCATGAAGCCAGGTAGACGTTGTCAGAGGGGTTTTCAGCCTCAGAAGCTTTGTCCCAAAGTTCTGCTGATGATACCTATTACCAGATAAGGAAGAAAACTGAATTTACCCCTCACATTAGGGGATAATTGGCACCAGAATTGTTGACCGTCATAGGGAAAGGGTGAGCCCAGGATCTAGATCAAGCAGGATTAGAACTCATGATCTTCCTGCTGTAAAACAAATTGCTGTGGATTAGCAAGGAAGGGAAACTGCTTCTGTCTTTTTAATCTTCCTTTTCTAGGAAGAAAGCATAGCTTTGTGCTTGTCATTTCTTCCCACTATATATTTTGAAGCCCATTTTCTGATGAGAACTGAAACCAAATTAGATTGGGACCAGTCACCCATGTTCAAGCATGTTAGCCATGTTGTTTGTTTGGCTAAAATAGGCCAATAGAGAAATGTACAATGTGGTATCTGTACAAGAAGTAGATCTCGGTTAAAATAGAGAAGGGGTCCCTGGCTAAGGAAATGAGGATTCAAAGGCCAATAACTGCCATTTCTGAACACCTAAAATCTTTTGTTTGAATTTTTAAGAGGAAGTCGCTGTTCTTGGGTGTGACTGTCCCACTGAGAAGAGTTGGCACAGGAACATTCCATAGGATGGTTTTCTGGTTTTAATCCTTAAGGAGAGCGTGAGTGATGCACTGCTAAGCTAAGCAACATATTTCTAAGCCCGTCCAGGAGATTTGGAGCAGAGGTAGTGAGCAGAATCAATCCACTGCAAGTGATGAGGTTGAGGCATATTCATATAGGAAATATTTGTAGCTGTAATTTTTACCCACTTTTTTTTTAAGCTTTGCAAGACGCTGAAACACGCTTTCGAGAAATAAAATTTCAACGTGAAGCCAAAGAAACTCAAGAAAATGAACGCAAACCTCCCCCTTACAAACATATCAAGGTAAGATGCTCTGAGGGCAATTAGTCAGAAGGCCCAGCAATGGCTCAGGTTATCCTGGGATGAGATACGATTGATCGTTCGTGGGAATGATGGGGGGACCCCTTTTAAGTTTCCATAGGTCAGAATTAGCCTAAATGGGGTACTGTGGGGAGACTTGTATCGGTTGTCAGGGGAAGAAGTAAAAGGCCATTTTTAAGTACAGGAGTACATTTCCTAGAGACAAATGTTTTAATTGTCTTTTTCTTCTAGTCAATTCATGTGCATTAATTTATTAAATAAAACATGCTGGAAAAGGATAAGATATTCCCAAAGGATTTTAGTTCTACTTGACAAGCTGAATGATAATAACAAGGAGTTCAGATTTATAGAGATATAAACGTGTGGGAAATAGAACTGTGCAACTATAAAAGTGTTTAAAATAAATCAGACTTTTTACCAGTTACTTAAAGGAAAATATTCGTGACAGAAGATTTTTTTTTTTTT